TTCAGCTCAAGGCTAGCACTCTACCACTTGAGTCACAGCGCCACTTCCGGCTTTTTTCTTTTTGCTTATGTGGTGCTGAGGAATGGAACCCAGGGCCTCAGGCATGCAAGGCAAGCACTCTACCACTGAGCCACCTTCCCAGCCCCTGTAAGGAAATCTTAACTTTAATCTAGCTTTCAAAAGTTTGCCTAGGAAGACTTGTGGCCTGGTATTAAGCAGTTAATTTAATAACTCTTGATCTCATTAATGTTTAGTCCATTTACCATTTACCTTTGCTACAAGAACCAAACTAGGTTAGTAGGAATAACCTGAAGTAGCTAACTTGTTCGTTCTTCATTAACTGCCACTTATTTTAAACTTTTTAGAATTATAATCCTTAAATATGAACACCCAAAATGTTACAACAGTTGAGATTATTTCTTATCTTACTGACGTTTCCTCAATGTCTCATCCTTCTGTTCTACTGGTCATGGGCATAAGAAAAAAAACAGAAGACAGTAACCACTTCATACATGTTTAAATTATACACTGAATTAATCATTCAAAACAAGACGCTACCCAGCACAACTCACTAGCATGTTCATCTACACCCCAAACACTCACACAGCACAGATACACCAGGCTGTGGATACTGTAGTTGTTGATGCTGGTCTGCCTCGGGTTCTTCAGGCTCAACTTGTGTCGACACGGACGCAGAGGTGGTGGGGGCCGTAGGTGCGCTGGTGCCAGCAGGAGGGGTCTGCTGGGCGCTGGTCTGGGAAGCACTCGACTGCTGCTCCACCTGCTGCCGGAGACCATTCTCTTCCTGTCTTCGTTTCTCCTGCTCCTCCCGCACCTGCTGCCGCTGCTCTCGTTTCCTCTTAATCAACGACACTCTGTCTTTGATAGCTTTAGCCATGGTCTTATGGTCACCTTCACAGACATACCCAGACTCTACCTACAGAAAGAAATGGGATATCAAAAGAACAATGAAGCCAACAAAGGCACCGCAGACAGCGGGGAGGTGCTGGCCACGGCGATGGCTGCCTGTGGCACACACTTCCCACCGCCATGGTGGGTCCCCACCAGTCTACTCCAGTGGATGTTCACATTCTGACTGCTCTTCGTCCTTTCAATAGGCAACCTCTTATCCAGCTGAAACAATGGTGACAAGTGTATGTGTTTAAGGGTGATGAAATACAGTCATTATATTAAATGTACATTATGTAAAAGTTCAACTATACAACTTGAGGGTATGGATGGGGCTGGGAAGGATGGGGAGAATGGAAGGGTAATATCAATCAAAATACACTGTGTTCATAATCTGATTTGTGGAACTGAAACTCCTTCGTACAACTACTTTAAAAATTAAAAAAAGAAAAAAAAAAAAACAGTAAGTCAGGTGCCAGTGGCCCCCACCTATAATCCTAGCTACTCAGGAGGCTGAGATCTGAGGATCTCAGTTCAAAGTCTGCCTGAGAAGGAAAGTCCGTGAGACTTAGCTCAAATTAACCACTAACAATCTTGAAGTAGGGTTGTGGCTCAAGTTACAAAGCACTAGCTTTTAGCAAAAAAGCTCAAGGAACAGCACCCAAACCCTGGGTTCAAGCCCCAAAACTGGCACACACACCCAAAAAAACTCAAGCAATAAAAAAAGCAAACTACCAATAACGTGTGTGTGTGTGTGTGTGTATGTACGCACGCGCGTGCGTGCGTGCATGCCAGGAATGGTGGTGGCTCAAGCCTGTATTCCTAACCACTGGTGAGGCAGAGCTCAAGGGATTATGGTTCAAGGTCAGCCCCAACAAAAAGCTGGTGATTCCATCTTAGCCGGAGTGGGATGGGTTCTGTATGGTTATAATCCTGGCTCTGGGAAGCACAGTGGCTGACAGTGGTGTGTGCTTGTCATCCCCAGGGATACCAAGAGGCACAAATAGGAGGACTGCAGGACAGGTTAGCCTGGGCATAAAACCAGGCCCTACTACCAAAATAACCAGTGGTGCCAGGCACCAGTAGCACACGCCTGTAATCCTAAGTCAGAAGGCTGAGATGTGAGGAATGTAGTGCAAAGCCAGTATGGGTAAGGAAATCGGTGAAAATTTTATCTCCAATTAACCAACACAAAGCCTGAAGTAGAGCTATGGGTCAAGTGGCAGAGAACAAAATCACAGGGATGGAGTCCAGGCCTGCGGTTCAAACCCCATGACAGGGCTGGGAAGGTGGCTCAGTGGTAGAGCACTTGCCTTGCATGCATGAGGCCCTGGGTTCCATTCCTCAGTACCTCATAAGCAGAAAAAGTTGGAAGTGGCGCTGTGGCTCAAGTGGTAGAGTGCTAGCTTAGAGCTGAAGAGCTGAGGGACAGTACCCAGGCCCAGAGTTCCGGCCCCACGACCAACCAAACAACACCCCAAAACCCCATGACAGGCAGACAGGAACACAGGCGCATGCGCACATGTGTGAGCAGACACACACCAAGTATTGCTTTTATACCCGACTCTAATAGGCAACTACTACTGTATGGTTAACACTAGACATATTCTATATATATATATCCTGGCATAACTGGCTATTTTAGGCACTTTAGCAAACCTAACTTGGTAAAGGGGTAAAAGGTTTTCCTGTTAGCAAAAGTGATCTTTTACATATACCGGAGGTGAGAGTATACCAAAAACTACTAACAACTAATCTGGAAAACTTTCTAAGTAAAAAATAGTTGATAGCTTCACATTGTTTTAGAAGGCTTCTGTAATTATGAATCTAAGGTTAACTGATAGAAACAACTTTCAAGTGGCGAATGGTGGCACATGCCTATAATTCTAGCACTAGAGAGGCTGAAGGAGAGTTTTGAGTTCAAAGCCATCCTGGCTATATATGAAGATCCTGTCTCAAACAAACTACTCCAAAAGAAGCAAACTAAAATTGTAACTTTCCTTAGAACTGAAGACTTACGCAAATTATTAGTCATTCAACCTCAAAGACTTTGAAAATGACTTCACTATGTGTTCTTTTTTGTGTGTTTTTGTTTTTGTCGGTCGTGGGGCTTGAACTCTGGGCCTGAACACTGTCCCTCAGCTCTTCAGTTCAAGGCGAGCGCTCTACCACTTGAGCTACAGCACCACTTCCGTTTTTCTGGTGGTTTATTGGAGGTAAGAGTCTCACGGACTTTCCTGCCCGGGCTGGTTTTGAACTGTGATCCTCAGATCTCAGCCTCCTGAGTAGCAAGGATTACAGGCGTGAGCCACCAGCGCCCGGCTTCACTATGTGTTCTAAATCTCTCATCCATCCCTACTGATTTTCAAAAGAAGGGAGTTACTACACAAGTATAATATTTGGGCCAACACTTTATGCTGAGACATAACAGAATTAATTCATTACTTCATAAATTCCTGTAAGCCCAGCAGCACCAATATATGTAGATATATATAAATGTACAGCAACTGCTACATGGTTGATTAGTGTCAATTTACCATTTCTTGAGCAACATCTTCTGGCACATCTCTCTCCAAGTCAAAGGAAAATTCAATAGCTTCATTGTCTTTGTACTTCCCCTTTAATTTCTTAATATCTTCAATACGCAGCCATAACTTAATAGCTATCTTTTCTCCATCGTCTTCTTCAGCTAATTCTACCCGTACCCCTGTTTCCTCCTGGAAGAAGGCATGGTTCAAAAGATCTTTGATGGAATATCTTCCAAAGAGAGAGAAAAGAGACACAGTATCAGTACTATGAAAAGAAAGTTTTCGCCGGGTGCCGGTGGCTCATGCCTGTAATCCTAGCTACTCAGGAGGCTGAGATCTGAGGTTCGTGGTTCAAAGCCAGCCTGGGCAGGAAAAGCCGTGAAACTCTTATCTCAAATAAACTACCAGAAAACCAGAAGTGGCACTGTGGCAAGTGGTAGAGGGCTAGCTTCGAGCTGAGGGACAGCGCCCAGGCCCAGAGTTCAATCCCCATGACTGACCAGTGAGAGAGAGAGAGAGAGAAGAAAAGATAATTGTATTTAGAAAGGGCCTCACTATGCTGCCAGTGTGGCCTCAAACTCCTGAGCTCAGGCAATCCTCCAGCCTCTCAAGTGCTAGAACTATAGGCATACATCATGGCACCTTGAACAAAGAACTTTCAAATGTATCTGGTTGTTAATTATATAAGACTGTATAAGATAAGGAAAAGCCTGTAACTCATTTGTCTAGACATTAGTCTATTTGAACATGATTTGAACAGTCATACTCCTAAGTTATACAATGACAATCCATTTTATGAGTAAGAGGTAATAGTAATAATTTTAAAATCAAATAATACAATCTCATTAGGGTTATGACAAGGGATGCATAAAATTTCAAAGTATCAAAGTACCACTGAACCCTTTATATAGCATTTTGTAACTAGCAACAACAACAAATACCCAAGTAGCTATCTCCTTGTCATTATGAAATAAAGGCTCAAAGAGGTTACGAGTTTTAAAGCTGTCATTGATGTAATCAAAAGTAGACGTGAGCCAGTGCTAGTGGCTTGCGCCTATAATCCTATCTACTCAGGAGGCTAAGATCTGAGGATCGAGGTTCAAACCAGCCAGGGCAGGAAAGGCCATGAGACTCTTTTCTCCAATAAACCACTAGAAAACCAGAAGTGGCCGCTGTGTCTCAGGCGGTAGAGCACTTGCCTTGAGCTCAAGAGCGCAGGGACAGCACTCAGGCCCAGAGTTCAAGCCCCACAACCGCCAAAAAAAAAAAAAAAAAGTAGATATGAAAAGAAGGTACCAGGCAAGCACAAGATATAATGGGGGAAAAATCTACAAAATAAACTTTTCCCTAGCTTCCCACCTTCTCCTAGAGAGATCTCTATTTACCTCTATAAATCTTTTCAATTTGTGGACAAGGCAAGAAAGGCTATTGTATAACACCTTTCTTTAGACAAAACAGTTTCAAAATACCAGTAATCTACTAAACTGTTCCATCCAGAAAACAAAGAATAATATATTATAAGTCCCCAAAAACAAATATTCCTTTGTTTGCAGTAAAAGGAATTTTTACTTTTTTAAGGACGCAGTGTATATAAAAACAGAAACTCAAACTACCTAGTGAAGTGTTGTTACGATCATGATATTAAGCTCTTCCAAATTACAAAGTCATGAAAAGAATATGAGACTAGAGCTGTGAAGATAGCAATTCTTTAATTTGGTTGATATACCTGGCTGCTCTCGTTTTTCAGGGGTAGATTATAGTCATTTTACAATTTCTATTTGTATTAGGCTGGATACTTTTTCTTTTTTGGCCAGAAGCAGGGATGGTGAAGGCAGATTATTTTTCAAAACCAGATTTTGGACCCTTGCCCTGCCTTACGGGAGATGAGTCAGCTCTATGGCAGATCAGATTCTGGCCACTCCTGTTGGTGCCAGTGTCTGAGCCAGATCTCCTCCCAAGCCTCGGGTGAAGTCTTCTCTTTTTTCTCAAAGGACTTTTGCTGTTTTGCTCTTCTTCAGTTTTGGAGTAAGAACAGGAAACCAAGGCCTATAACGCGGCTCTCACGGAGGCTTCATTTAAGGTGGCTCTGGCTTACCTCAACCCCGCTAAGCCTCACTTCTACAATGGTAGGAGCTCCATGGTGCGAGCAGAAAGCCAGGCGTCAGTATGTGTAGAATGAGCACTGTACTTAGCAGGGAATTTGTGTTTAAGCCAAACACCGGACAACTCACCTTTCATCTTTGTTTTGTCTTATGCAACCTTCAATGATTTCTTTCACTTCAGGAATTGCTACTTTGTCAAAACTTGCTGGCTTCACCCCCTGAAAATCAGAAATTTAGACACAGAACAGATTAATAAGGCTGGAAATGTGGCTTAGTGGTAGAGTGCTTGCCTAGCAAGCAAGAAGCTCTGGGTTCAATTCCTTATTACTACATAAATAGAAAAGGCTAGAGAAGAGGGGCTAGGAAGGTGGCTCAGTGGTAGAGCGCTTGCCTTGCATGCATGACGCCCTGGGTTCAATTCCTCAGCACCACATAAACAAAAAGAAAAAAAAAACCGAAGTGGCTCTGTGGCTCAAGTGGTAGAGTGCCAGCCTTGAGCTAAAGAGCTGAGGGACAGTGCCCAGGCCCAGAGTTCAGACCCCACGACCTGACCCCCCCCCAAAAAAAAAAGGCTAGAGAAGAGGTGCTGTGGCTCAAGTGGTAGATGCTAGCTTGGGCAAAAAGCTCAGGGACAGTGCTCAGGCCCTAAGTTCAAGCCCCAGGACTAGCAAAAAAAAAAAAGAGTAAGAAACACTTTGACATGGTCACTCACTCCTATATATGGCAAGGAGAAAACTGGCTTCTTCCAGACAAAGGAAGTTATTGGCTAACTAGAAAGCCACACGTTCTAATCTGCTAGAAAATGCTTTGTTTAACCCAGCATGCTAATACTTGACTTACATCAACGGCTACTTGAACCAAATCCGTCTATGGGTATGAATGAGCAGGGCTTCACAGGCAACAAGTGGTTATAGTATCTTACAATACTTCAACTAGAATAAGACTTAGTGGCTGGACCAGCTCACCAGGATGACTAAACCAAATTGTCCTGTGCACAGGAAACACATCCAATGTGGAGTGATACATTGTACTTGACTCACACAAAAGATAAACTTAAGGAAAAGATTAGCACCATCTGATATAATACTAACTAGAACATCACAGTAATCAATTTAATCTTCATGAAGTGCAAATTCTTGGAACATAAAACTTGCAACAAGCCAGGCACCAGTGGCTCACACCTATAATACTAGCTACTATTTATTTATTTTTTGGGGGGGCCAGTCATGGGGCTTGAACTCTGAGCCTGGGCACTGTCCCCGAGCTCTTCAGCTAGCGCTCTACCACTTGAGCCACAGCGCCACTTCTGGCTTTTTCTGCTTATGTGGTACTGAGGAATCGAACCAACCCAGGGCCTCATGTATGCAAGGCAAGCACTCTACCACTGAGCCACCTTCCCAGCCCCATTCTTTTGTTGTTGTTGTTGTTGTTTTGTTGTCGGTCATGGGTTTTTTGGTTTTCTACCCATTGCTGGAAGCTCCTGTTTTGGTTTGTCCTGGGGCTTGAACTCTGGGCCTGGGCACTGTCCCTCAGCTCTTCAGCTCAAGGCTAGCGCTCTACCACTTGAGCCACAGTGCCAGTTCCGGCTTTTTCTGTTTATGTGGTGCTAAGGAATTGAACCCAGGGCCCCATACATAGAGGCAAGAGTTCTACCACTGAGCCCCCTTCCCAGCCAGAAGGCTAAGAGCTTAGGGTCACAGTTCAAAGCCAGCCATGGCAGGAAAGTCGGTGAGAATCTTATCTCCAATAAACCACTCAGAAAACCAGAAGTGGAGCAGTGGCTCAAGTGGTAGAGCACTCGCCTTGAGCTGAAGAGCCGCCCAGATCCAGAGTTCAAGCCCCATGACAAAAAAAAAAAAGCCAGAAGTAGAGCTGTGGCTCAAAGTGGTAGAGTACTAGCCTTGAGTTCAAGCCCCAGGACAAACCAAAACAAGAGCTTCCAGCAATGGGTAGAAAACATAAAAACAATGTGGGAACCAAATGTTATCATCTGAGAGGTAAATAGATAGAAGATAATTCCTATCTAATGACACATGGATTAAAATTTTAAAAAAAGTCTGATTCTTAATTCCCATCTAGTAAAACATGGATTAAAACAGAAAAGTCACATTCCTAATTCCCACCTAGTGACACACCGAATACAACAGTTCAAGGGGTTGGGCAGGTGGCTCAGTGGTAGAGCGCTTGCCTTGCATGCCTGAGGCCCTGGGTTCGATTCCTCAGCACCACATAAGCAAAAAGAAAAAAGCTGGAAGTGACACTGTGGCTCAAGTGGTAGAGCGCTAGCCTTGAGCTGAAGAGCTGAGGGACAGCCCCCAGACCCAGAGTTCAAGCCCCACTACTGGTGAAAGAAAAAGAAAAAAAGAAAGAAAAAGGAAAGAAAAGAAAGGAAGGAAGGGAGGGAGGAAGGGAGGGAGAGGGGGAGGGGGAGGGAGAGGGGGAGGGAGGGAGAGGGGGAGGGAGATGGGGAGGGGGAGGGGGAGGGAGGGAAGAGGAGAGAAAGAATCACAGGAACTGCAATCAAATGTCCTATCCAGATTGAAAAGTCTTTGGAATTAAAGTTGCTAGCCCAAGGCTATCTTGGATTTGAAATCATGATTATAAGTAAAAATTTCTCTTGAATCTTCATTTATTTTCATTATCCTAAATATTTTTTAAAAATTCTCTCGTTAACCCTGTCTAGGCAAGCCTATATGCACTCAAGTCTATACAAATTGTAATAAAAAAATTGTAATGAATACTCCTAAGCAGAAATGCTAGCAGAACAAATGGCACAGAAGATAGAGCAAAACCAACACGAAACAGAGATAATGCAAAATCAACAAGTGTGCATAGCACAATTGCAAATCTATTAAGTTATGCTGCTTTCCTAACCTAGAGCCACATTTGCACAATTTCCACACCAGTGTTACACAACATATTCAGATGCCACTGTTGCCTTAGAAGATGTAAGAGATTGGAGGCATGGCTACTAAGGTCAAGTCTTGGTCTCAGATCAGCGGGGGGAGGACAGAAAGGGGGGGCGGGTAGTAAGGTATTATAGGTGTTCAGGAAGCCAATAAAGAGACCTGTTCACTATGTTGAAAATGAATTATACAACTAGTGGTTGGGGTAAGAGGGAAAAACGGAGAGAACAAAGGAAGGGATAACATTATCCAAAAAGAAATGTATTCTTTTGTATGTAACTGTAACACCTTTGTATATATCACTTTCGTAATAATAAAAAATTTAAAAAAGAGCAGGGCACTGGTGGCTCACGCCTGTAATCCTAGCTACTCAGGAGGCTAAGATCTGAGGATCGCGGTTCAAAGCCAGCCCGGGCAGGAGAGACTGTGAGACTCCTATCTCCAATAAACCACCAGAAAACCAGAAGTGGCACTGTAGCTCAAGTGGTAGAGCACTCGCCTTGAGCTGGAGAGCTGAGGGACAGCGCCCAGGCCCAGAGTTCAAGCCCCACGACCAACAAAAAAAAAATTTAAAAAAGAAACCTACTCTTTTACTAGTCTAACAGCTGACATTAAAAATGAACACACTTAAGCAAAAAGAAAAAAAAAAGCCGGAAGTGGCGCTGTGGCTCAAGTGGTAGAGCGTTAGCCTTGAGCTGAAGAGCAGAGAGACAGCGCCCAGGCCCAGAGTTCAGGCTCCACGACTGGACCCCCCAAAAAAAAAAAAATAAATAAATAAAATAAATAAAAATGAACACACTGCATACTATTGCCTGACTGATTGAATACTGGAAAATGAACAAAGTATTTCACTAGTCAGCTCATTTAAAACTAGGATTGCAAGGACCGTGGTAAGGCAGAAGAATCGGGAGTAAGGTGGGGCTGGGAATGTGGCTTAGTGGTAAAGAGCTCACCTAGCATGCATGAAGCCCTGGGTTCAAACATTCCTAAGACCACATAATAGAAAAGGCCAGAAGTGGCCCTGTGGCTCAAGTGGTACAGTGCTAGCCTTGAGCAAAAGAAGCACAGGTACAGCAACCAGGCATTGAGTTCAATCCCCAGAACTGGCAAAAAATAAACAGAGAGTAAGGCAGGATGTTTGAGGTAAGCCTGAACTGTACATAGCAAGATACTGTCTCAGACAACAAAACAAGACAAAAAAAGACAAAAAATTCACCCACGGGCTGGGAAGGTGGCTCAGTGGTAGAGCACTTGCCTTTCATGCATGAGGCCCTGGGTTTGATTCCTCAGCACCACATAAGAAAAAAGAAAAAAGCCGTAAGTGGAGCTGTGACTCAAGTGGTAGAGCGCTAGCCTTGAGCTGAAGAGCTGAGGCCCAGAGTTCAGGCCCCGCGACCGGACCCCCAAAAAAAAAATTCACCCAGATCCTGATTATCAAAATGCCTAGAAAATTCCTTAAAGAAGAACTTATAAATGTGCATAAACAAAATCTGGAGTGACCCACAGAAGAGTCACCTGGAACATAAAACAGAAAGAAAAAGGTAATTTTTTTACATACTCATCATAATCACAGGCTTCCAAATAATGACAACAAAATGATTTAATGGTAAAAATATCACCTTACTCCTCTTTTTTTTTTTTTGGGGGGGGGGGGGCGTGGGGCCTGAACTCTGGGCCTGGGCGCTGTCCCTCAGCTCTTCAGCTCAAGGCTAGCCCTCTACCACTTGAGTCACAGCGCCACTTCCGGCTTTTTTCTTTTTGCTTATGTGGTGCTGAGGATTCGAACCTAGAGCCTCATGCATGCAAGGCAAGTGCTCTACCACTGAGCCACCTTCCCGGCCCCACTCCTCTTTTCTTATATGTTTTTTATTGTAAAAATACTGTACAGAGGAGTTACAGTTACATGAGCAAAGTAATGAATACATTTCCTATCAAGCATTGCTACCTCCTTTGTTTTTCCCCTTACTCCTCTTTACTTTGATATACCTGAACAAAGATGAAGGTCAATTTCAAGAGCCCCACAATCCTCCAAGTTCCATCCCTTACCCTACTTCTAACCTAGCCACTTAAAGCAAATCATTACCCACTCTTCTGAATAAAGTGAAAAATACAAAACCAGACAGATCAGCTGACCGGCTCTAACTTGTGCTGAGGAAAACTAATCTTCACTTAGAAAGGCAGGGCACACAGCTCTGCCATTAACTCCTTCAGAGCCAGCGGCTCCTGGGCTCTTGGTGTACCTGGCTTTTTTTTTTTTTCTTTTGCCAGTCATGGGGCTTGAACTCTGGGCCTGGGTGTCCCTGAGCTCTTCA